GATTGACAAATGCATATACTATGTTACAGTTTTACATAAATTTGTTAAAAGAGGGAGGGGGGCTAGTGTACAAAACAATAAAATTGTATGCTAAAAAAATATTCAAAGTTGGGTGGCCGTTCCCGTTTTGGCTTGCTGGTTAGTCACCTATACTATATTATATGGTGGATTATATTGTAATATATATATATATATATTAATGTTTTGCTTCAAGAAAGTTTAAACACCCCATAAAGTAAATGAGTTGCGTATTTGAAATCATATAAAGTATCTTTCATTTGTAATAGCAAGAAAACATTAATTAATTAAAATACTTGTCACTCTTGATCTACGAAGCTTTGTTGCTTGTCATTAAACCTTTAAGTTAAAAGCTGATATTCGTTCCAAGCTATTTACTTTTTCTTTCTTAAGCTCATAATTTAATTTTACCTCTTCCCCCCCCAAAAAAAAGTAACAAAAATCAGAAAATTCTAATTTTAGTTTAAAATATTTTTAATTATTATAGCTCTTGATTTCTCGTGGGAAGAAAATAAAAATTTTATTATTATTATTTATGACACAGATACGTGACGTTTATTCTTCAAATTACCGATTTTTTTATATCGTTGACTAACGGTGGTGTCCAGTTATTGCATCATGCTGGGTAATTTTACGTTTTTGCCGTCATTAACTAACTAATAAAAAAATATTAGAATTAACAGCAAAATTGACGTTAATTTGTTTTTACAATTTTCTTTGTGTGACATACCTTATTAGCGATCCTACAACCAACAAAATTAGAGCCAGAAGGTAGTTCAATATATATAAATAATATTGAAAAATGTGTTTAAATATCGAATTGGAATATATATTATTATATTTATATAGAAGTTTACAGGATTACTAAAAGTACCAATAGTATTATAATTTGTTACATTTAAAGATGCTGGCGCCATCTAATGATTAATGAAGTAATTTCATGTATTTTCGATATTAAGTCAAGATATACTAAAATACTATGTAGTCGCCATCTTCTTTCAAACTTCAACCATTAGCAACTGAACATTCTGATTACAATCTAGAAATCAGTAAATAAAATTTCATTAGTTAAGCAACAAGGTGCTAAAATCTGCATAATTCTCTTTTGGTTTTGTTCTAATAAACTTTTAAAACCCTTACAGGACTTTGTGGACACCCTGTACTTTGGCCTCACGGAATTTAGGATGTTACAAAATCTTAAAAGAAAATTTTTGTATTTAACAAACTGAATCAAGTAAATTTTTTAGCAATAATGATTAATAGGAAGTTAAATATTAGGTATCCTGTCAGACCCAAATAAATACGTAGATGTAGTGTTTATGAACTCAGGATAAGCTAGTTCAAAATTGACAGCTTGATGTGTTATGTTTGATACCATTGTCATTTGCTGTGATTTCATTAAAAAAATATAGAAAACTACTTAATAAAATAACTAATTAAAGATAAAGAAGGATTATTGCGAAGGGACTATTTTTTTTTTACCATTAACTTTGTTAGAATCATCATAAGAAATACAGTGTTCAATATGATAAGAAATGTTAACGTATCGTAATGAAAGAGAATTTAATTTTGTGTAGAAAGTATTATTTAATTTTCAGAATTACTTTGTAATGAATATAAATAACATTTTGTATCCCTAACTGAATCTGTTTCTAGTGTCAGTGCATTTATTTTATTCAACGTGTTCTAGGTTACACCAGAATCACAGAATCTTAAACTGCTATTGGTAGGAGTTAATTACCACAGGTATCCATAACAACACGTGTTAAAAACTATGACAACCAACAGATAATTGTAACAGTCTATGGAATTCAATACACAGATCATCAAAAATTATGTTAACTCATCAATAGTTATAAAAATTCTTTATCACTAAAAATAAAATTTGTATTAAAAAATACATAGATTCATTAAATCTCTAGTTTGTTGTCAATTAAAAGTCACAATGTTGTTTATTTGGAAGTTTTCTTCTCTTTAAACTTCTTCAGATCTGCTGAAAATAGGACCTGGTTTAACAGAGCAGAAAAAATAATAATTATTATTATTATTACATAAAAACATGGGTTAGTCTATTTAAAATAAGCTTTTACAATATATTCTGTTCTATAAATAACTTATCAAAGAGAAAAATAATTTATAGATAAAACTGAAAACAGATCAATATGTAATACAGAGACCTACGACTTTGTTTACGCACATCACACGTAAAGTAGCATGATCTCTGAAAATATTCAAAATGTAAAAAAAAAACATTAATAATCTTTTAGTGGATAACTTCTTGATTCTTCTAACGACACATTCGAAAACAGGACTCGGTCTTATACTTCCAATAACGACACATGCAGAAACAGGACTCAGTCTTATACTTCCAATAACGACACATGCAGAAACAGGACTCAGTCTTATACTTCCAATAACGACACATGCAGAAACAGGACTCAGTCTTATACTTCCAATAATGACACATCCAGAAACAGGACTCAGTCTTATACTTCCAATAATGACATCCAGAAACAGAACTCAGTTTTATACTACCAATAATGACATCCAGAAACAGGACTCAGTCTTATACTTCTAATAATGACACATCCAGAAACAGGACTCAGTCTTATACTTCCAATAATGACACATCCAGAAACAGGACTGTCTTATACTTCCAATAATGACACATCCAGAAACAGGACTCAGTCTTATACTTCTAATAATGACACAAGTGCCTCAAAGGTTCCTGTTTATTACCATTTTCAAATAAACAAAATACTTTTGCTACCATGTACCTATTAAAATTACATGAAGATCACTATCCCATAGATTGTTTAGAGAAAGAAATATATTTCATGAAGTATAATCATAAGCACCTTGCTCCTAGCAACTTATGGGGATATGCTACAAAAAATCTATTCTTGAAAAATTATGAGCTCTGGTGAAGTGCACCGAGTGACGGATTTATGATATTTCTATTAAGTAAGCCCTTAATGAATATTCAAGAGTCAAATATTATACTTTAGGTTGTTCATGTACATTAGTTTTGTAATCCGAGTCTTAAAGCTGTGATCTGGTGAGAGTAATTCAGAGAAATTCAATACAATAAAACCATCTAAACAATCACAAAAGTATCTTACAGAGTTTTCTGCTTCCATTTATTTTTCTTGCACCCATTATGGAATGAGAAAGAGCAAATGGTAACTTGTAAGTCACTTTAAAGACAGTAGGAGGTTACAAAAATCCTGCACCCTCCAAAAACAACCAGCAAAAAGATCAGAAACAAAATAAACTGTACTTAAGCCTACAAATGTTCAGAAAAATTAAACAGTCCACACCATATCACCAGCCAAACCATTCCAGAACTTATTAACTCTAAAACCTATCGAAGATACCCACAATTGTAAACACCTGAATCTTAACATATTCAAAGATCAGAAACTTTACTCTCAAGTCTCATCACCAAACAACAGCTTTTTTCTTCAACAAAAATAAATTTTAAAGAAATCTTTCCGAACTAAACATTGATCAATTTAGGTCTCTTCTGTGAGTAAATCCTCAAAGTTTGAAGAAACTAATCCACGTATACATACAGCCCTTCTTTCTTCCATCAAGTAACAAGCAGTTGTCTGTGATATATATTCTAAAAGTTGGAAGGCTATAAACTATAACAAAAATCCAATGTTTATTAAATCTTGTTTAGAAAATTACATCATTTTTTTTACTGCTAATAAGGTGTAAACATAGTATTGTTACGTCTCCGTTTGTTAATTAACTTTCCGTAACTTCGTTCCGACGAAACTTAAGCGACACAAGTTCTTTCTTAATAAAACTGGTTTATTATTTCCGAATATAACTTTACCAATACACTCAACTTCAACAATCGCGCTAAACAAACGCTGTAACGTCTCTCGTGCTCTCTAACTGCAGTTCAATTACTCACTATCTCTACACACATTACCTTACCCTACCGCATCACGTTTTCCCCTCTTATATATACCAGCCAACCATACTAGTAAATACTAGAGCATTCGCCAAAGTACATGATAGTTCTAGAAACGTTGCGTCACAGTAGTCATGTGACTCGATGACGCAACAGTATTTTTTAAGAAAAATTAATTAGTCCATACATTCAACTTGAAAATGACTCTTCAAATCTGTTATATATCAGAGAATTTCAAAGTTTTCAAGATGGTGTACCTGCTAAATCCACATTTAGGGCAAGGGGTGCCAAAATTAGAGAGAAATTACAAATTAAACGTATACTTACCGAATGTGCCCAGCCTGCATACTCTCCAAATCGCTCCCTAAAAAAGTTACCTGAAGCAAAGAAAAAAAAAAAAAATGAATGACAGCAAACACTCAATATAAATTTACTTTTATTTGTTAATATCTAGAGCATTCTTCTATTCCAACTAATTACACATTTTTCTGTAATATGCAAGTGTCAGATGTTCATGCATTTTACTACACACGGCTGTTGGTTAGGTTGGTTATTTACAATAAGCACAACCAAGTTCATAAAATTGTACATCTTTAACCAAAACCCAACTGAATGTAAAATCTAGAAAGCTTTTGAATAATAAATTTTGAATGAGAAGATAAGAGATAAAGATTTGAACTATATTAAAATGCTAAAAGTTTATAGCAGAATTGTGCTTCTTTAACTACTTAATACTTAATATTCACATAAGAATATAGAGTAAAAACTTTATAAGCAAAATTTCAGAAAGGATAAAAAAAATTTTTTTCCTTGAAAGTTTAAGACTAAAAACAACAGGTGAACATACAGCTACGATGACAATTTGGAGAACAAAAACTAAAGATTACTAGTCACTCACCAACTTGTGAGTACACCTTATCTGTAAGTGATTTTGTAGCTTTCAAATGGTGAAGATAATCTCGAACTGTGATCTGCCAAACATGAGTGTCAATAGGTATTGCACCCGGTTTGTCTAAAGACATCAAGCACACACAGTCTGCCACCTATATGTTGATGAAGATGAATAATTACTTTATTAAAAATTACTGAGATTTAATACAAAAATTGTTTTTCCTTTTTTTTGCTTTTAAATCCATAATAATTTCGACAATTACAAATTATATTCACAATGTATTAAAAATCACTTGAATAAATAATAATGTTAACTACCACTAAAACTTAAGACAGTAAGAATGGTTTTACTTGTGGTGCCTGTCAACTTTTCTCTACGAATGTAATAATAATAACAACAAAGCACATGTTACAAAATCTAAAAGAACTTTTCAAGATACATAGCATACTTAACATTGAACTAAAAACTGACTTAATACTTTTCTCAAAGAATTGCTTTCTTATTTTTTTAGCCTGCATTATTTTTTTTATTATAACTGTGTTATAGGTAAGTTTAGTTGCGTAGTATTTAAACTTTTAACATCCCAAACAAATTTCGGTCAGAATTAAGATTTTTTTTTATTTTTATAAAACAGTTAGCATAAAGGATCACATATAAAGTGTAATAGACTTAAAGTAAGACCCAAAACTCGAGCACTTTTGAATAGTTCCGAAGAAGAAGAATCAACTATTCGAAAGTGCTCAAGTTTTTGGTCTTATTTTCAGTCTGTCAGAATTAAGAAACACTCCGGATATTTTATGGAATGATAAAAATATATATTAATAAAAGTATGACACTCTCTATATAGAGATTTTTACCATTTTCAAAACATATTATTCTTAACTAACTTATAGTTTAAAACAGTTCAGTAGTACAGAAGCTTATAAATAATTCAACCTTTGCTCCAACTCCTGGGAGTTGCATCAAGGCAGTTCTAGCCTCTTCATAAGGAACTTTTCTTAGCGATTCCAGCCACTCAGGAGAAAGGTTCAGAGTGATATGTTTTGCCGTTTCACTAATATATTTAGCTCTGTATCCAAATCCCAGTTTTCTAAGTTCTTGTTCTACAGTCTCACCCGCCAGAGCTTCTAATGAAGGAAAATTATAAAACATCCTTCCATTCACTTCAAGTAGTTTGGATCCGTATTTCTGACAAAGCTTTTCTACCATACTTGTAATCCTGAAAACGATAAACATTCCTTAAAAGAACTGCATTCTCGGAAGAAAGGAATATAACTGTTAAAAATCATTTTGGATATCCTACACTCCTTAACTACAATACGATTTTATTCAATACGTTGATTAAATATATTATTAAAACATTTTTAAAATCATACCAAAGTGAGCATGTGAATTAACTGTTAAGTAATTTGGTTTAAATTTCTTTAGAATTACTATTATAAATTGCTAATATAACTCTTGAAAATACTGAAGTAACTTGAACAACAATAATAGAAACCTAAAAACCCTATTACCATATACAGTAAAACTTGTTTACATGCTACAATTAAATATGCTTTGACAGCTTCAATAATGTTAACGTCACACCAT